AACATTCCTTGGCTGATGGGACCCATAAAGGCCCAACCTGCTGGACCAAATTGGATGGGGAGAGATAGCTGGGAGTAGATGGTCCCTCAGGTAATCTGGTCCCAAGGCATGAAGGGCTTTAAAGGTGATAAACAGGAGCCAGAATTTCACTCACTGGCAGCCAATGTAGCAGTGATGTCACATTTGTTGAATAACCGACACCATTAATTACTGATGCAGCTGCATTCTGCATTGGTTGAAGCTTCCGAAAGTTCTTCAAGACCAGCCCCATGTAATCTAACTATAAAGTAATTCAGACTATTACTTTATAGTTAGGTTACACTTCTTATAGATTCCCTGTTGTCTGTGCATTTTATGTATTACTTACTTTGGTTTTTAATATTCACAGTAAGCTGACCAGATATTTTTATAAACCTTTGATTTAAAAAAAAAAAAAAAAAGTTCTCTACAGCAACAAAAAGAAGAAAAATTCTATTCAAGTGAGTCTGCATCAGATTTTCACATATTATCTTTACTCCACATATATTTTAAGAATAGGCCAAACTAATTTTTCTACTAGTTTGTATATGTATTTTTATTGCCTTATCAGCTGCAGATGTTTATATATTGCATAGCCTTTATATTATTCAGTTTAACAACTTTTACTACAGCAACATCTATAATCTCACTCTGTGAACAACCCCAGCAGTAATTGAATATCCTACCAAAAATATGCAAGCGTTAATTTCAATTCTTTTATTAGCCATTTTTCATCTTAGCCTGTCGGAGCAGACTATCCAAATAAAAATATAGAGCAATAAAAATAAAACAGAAATAGCGGATAATATGCCAGAATGACAAAGACTAATAGTGCAATCCTTTCTTTTCTACTCCAATATTTAAAGATCTGATGAATAAAAAATAAGACTGCTCTTCTATTTTTCTTGAGCTATGGGTAAACTATGTAGAGGATTCCAATGTGGACAATATCTGCCTGTAATAAGGGACTGAAAATAAGAGCACAGTGTGTCACATTTCTGCTATCTCACATGCCTTGACCCTTGTAGAATTGGGTCCAAGATGGCATGGTAATGGGATGGGTAATAAATGACCACATTAATTTGATGACCTAGTAACAACTTTTCCAATGTTTAATTGTATGGTATGTCATAACCATACCAAGACTGTCACATGGATACTTAGATGAGATGCTCTGACATGAGTAGGTACATACATGTGCATCATTTTGGCAACATTGTAGTTTGCTGCAGATGCCACTGGTTATGAGAGCTTCACCTTCCCTTGCATCAACATGGCTTGATAATGTATGATCATGGTCATCCAGCAATTTTCCTCTAAACCAGTGGTTCTCAGCCTGTGGGTCAGGACCCCTTTGGGGGTCGAACAACCCTTTCACAGAGGTCGCCTAAGACCATCGGAAAACACATATTTTCAATGGTCTTAGGAATAATTTTATGGTTGGGGGTCACCACAACATGAGGAACTGTATTAAAGGGTCGCAGAATTAGGAAGGTTGAGAACCCCTGCTCTAAACCAAGGCTTTCCTTAAAACTGTAGGCTAGAAAGAGGAAATACCAATCATCTCTTTCAAAAAGCATTATGAGATTTGCCTTTCTCCTACTACCTTTGTTCCTCCACTCATACATAGTGGCCTCACCAGGGGTGGGTTCTACTTACCTTTACTACCAGTTCACAACGGGAGCACACATGCTTCTCCACATGCACAGAAGCTTTTGCACATGCATAGATCGTCAATTATGACATCCGGGAAGGTGGGTGGAGCCTCCTGCCACTTTTACTACGGTTGTAAAGAACCGGACAAAACCGGGAGCAACCCACCACTGGGCCTCACCTAAATTGAATGATTAATCTTTCACTTTCCAGGCTCCTTTCCTGTATTAGCTAGTCTTATATTTAAAAAGGCTTAAGATTCTTCTTTGATAAGCCGTGAATACATTTATGGTCACGTGAAAGCATGTTTTAGAGTCATGAGTCTCTTATGCCCTCCGAGTTTTGAAGGCTGTGATTTATGACTCAGAAAAACTGCACCTCCCCTCCCTCACTTCTGCAGGATCCTTTGAAATGCTCTTTTCTGAATCATGAAAGCATACAGAAACTCTATCCCCAGTTCCATCCGGATCCACTCCCTTTCTGAAGTTGGGTCAGCAGGGATGTATCTAAATATTGTATTTAAGACCGGGTACAATGAGAGCTAACAAGAGTATTAAATATTCTGACTTTTGTGTAGGTATGGCAAGGATGTGAAGCCCATCTCTGAACATAATGAACTACCAACCACATTTAACTAGTGTCCTGTGTGAACTTCAGTTGTATGCTAAATTCATGGTTGTGTGTCCTGCAAACTCAGAAAATGTTAATTGAATAAACCAGGTTAAGTCAACTATCAATAAGAACATCAGGCAAATCTAGAACATGTATTCTTATAAATATTGCTTGTATGCTAGAGTTTGCTTTTATAATTCTTAAAGATAAGAATATTTTTTTTGACATCTTTAGCTAGGCTAAAAAGGAAATTGTAAAATTGTTGAATGCAATATTTATTCCATGTATAGCTGACCTTTTTTCTCTAAATCAAAAGGCAAAGCAAACGTTAAGTCCATGGTAACCTGTGAATCTATCATCTGTGCACGTCCTCAAACAAGCAGCAGGTTCTTTTGTAGAGTCTGACAGTAGAGGAGACAACACCACTTCCTGTAGGAACAATTCTCTAGTACAAGAAGAGACAACTATGAGATGTACTGGCTGGTTACCACAGATGGAACTAAACAGCATAAACAGTTTGATTTGTTCTTGGTTTTAGTACGAGCAATGCTGGTGGCTGATGATCCTAAACTGGACAAGGTGGCAGTGTTACACAGCTGAAGGGCTGTTGGTTTAAAATCACTTGATGTGGAGCTAGATCAGATCCAAAGGAGGCTCCCAAAGAAAAAGAGGCACCTCTACAGGAGAATATTTGTAGGTGAAGGTTGAAATAAGGGGCTCTTTGGTGCTCTCTGAGCTCATTTTCTTGCAGACATTTCATTACCCAAACTAGGTAACATCATCAGTGCTAGTAAAGTGTGGGGTTTGCTCTCAATTTATATTCTAAGGGTGGGGAACGATGGCCCTTTTATGACTTGTCGACTTCAACTCCCAGAATTCCTGAGCCAGTTGAGGTCCATAAGTCATAAAGGGGCTATTGTACCCTACCTTTGTTCTAGTGGCTTGCCCAACCAAGTTCAGAGAGCACCAAGGACAGTGGTGGGTTGCTCCTGGTTCACCCTGGTTCGGGCGAACCAGTAGTGGCGGCACTGGGAGGCTCCGCCCACCCATCCAGACATCATAAAGAACACTCTGTGCATGCAGAGAAGCGCCACACGCTACCGATAGCAAACCAGTAGCGCCGGAATTTGAAACCCACTACTGACCAAGGACCCCTCAAAAACAGAAGGAATAAGGAAGCCTTTGCCAGTCCTTCACTTATCTCTTAATAGAAGACAAGGAGAGTATTGACAAACCATGGGGTGTACTGTAGTTGGCCTGCTTGCTGTTTTATTAAACAGGAAATTCCACATTGGAGCATCTTCACAAGGTCTTTGCAGACCTTAAAAGCCAGGTGGGATTCTAAGCAAGACTTGTTTTCCTAGACAGGCACATCTTAAGGTTCATGTCAATACACGGAATTGTTCAGGGTTCTCAAGACACCCTCTGCCATAGGTGATAGTTTGCTCAACATATTGGCCGAGTCCTCAAAACATTATTAAAACACACTTGCAAAAAAATTGCAGCCTGACGTGTAAAAGTCAAGCAGCTTTCTCAATAAAACTTTGGTGGTTTCCAGGTACAGGCAAATCCTCGAGTTACAATCACAACTGAGCCCAAAATTTCTGTTGCTAAGTGAAACATTTGTTAAGTGAGGTTTGCCCCATTTTATGACCTTTGTTGCCACAGTTGTTAAGTGAATCTGCTGCGTCCAGGCTCTCCTCCAGTCTACAGACGCAGCCGTGCTCTGATTGGCTGTTTCAATTCAGGCATGAGTATATAAGGAGCTGTCAAAGGTTGACAGCTGCTGCTCCTGTTAGCCGAGCAGCCTTGCTGGTCGCAATGCTAGCAAACCTGTTAGAACAATGTTAGTGAAATAAATCCTGTTAGTTTTTACTTCAACCTGTCTTGCCTCAGTCTGTTCGTCCCTAACAGGGACATAACAGAATAATCACTGCAGTTGTTACTTTAGTAACGTAGTTAAGTGAATGTGGCTTTCCCATTGACTGCTTTCAGAAGATCGCACATGACCACATGACCCCAGGACACTATTACCGTCATAAATGTGTCAATTGCAAAGTGTCTGAATATTGATCATGTGACCATGGAGAAACTGCAACGTGTGAAAAACCATTGTGTCATTTTTTTTCAGTGCCACTGTAACTTTGAACAGTCACTAAATAAACTGTTGTTAAGTCAAGGACTACCTATCGTTTTCTTAGCCACTGTATGGAGATTGCTTTCTTTCCTGAGAGTTTTTTTCAGCAATCTCAGTCTAGCCTACAGCCTGGGATTTCCTAATGGCCCCCAACCCTGTTTAGGTTCCAAGCCCTGCAAAAGGTCGCCTTAGGTGCGCGTGGCTAAAAATGTGCGCTGTGGGTAAGAGGTCATTGGACCCAACGAGTCCTTCCCCTTCTTCACCGCCAGAGAGCAGCACGAGGCCCCTCGAAGCGATACCGCATTACTGACGGTTATCACCAGTTTAGTGCCTCGCGGGCCTCCGTCGAAGCACTTACGAGGCAGGCCCCACGTTTCTGCTGATTCTCCTTCCGCCTTTTCTCTATAAACCCCAGAAGGCACCGCGAGCAAAGGCGGGGTGGAGATGGGGGGTGGGGGGTGGGGAGGAAAAAAAAAATACTTTGCTGAGCGTCCTCCCGGCACGCATGCGCCGCAGCGCTTTCGTCCGGCTCGCCCTTTTTCGTCCCACGCGCCCTGGGTCCAGCAGGCGGCGCTGTCAGGGAAGCTGCTGCCACGGAGGCCTTGGCGTATCCCAGCGTCGTGCGCAGCGAGCGTCTCCCCCCGGCCCGACGGAGTGCCACGTCTTTGGTGCGGCGGGGCAACGTCGGCTTGGCTGGCTGGCTGGCTGGCTGGCGCGGGAGGGGCGGTTGCGCCGCGCGTCCGTTTGCGCGCCGGAGAAGCCCGCTGCCACCGCTCGGCACCCTGGTCGTCCGCCGCTGGGCCTGAGCCATGGGCTCGTCGCAGAGCGTGGAGATACCCGGCGGGGGCACCGAAGGCTACCACGTCTTGAGAGTGAGAGGAGGGGGACTCCGTGGAAAAAAAAAGGGGGGGACCCCAGCGCACGGGGGAGGGGGGGGCGGGGCGGGGGGGGGGGGGGGGGGGGGGGTGCGGGGTGGGGTGGGGAGGAAGAAAGCACCCCCGGCAGGCGAAGAGTGCAGGAATGCGGGGAAATGCCGGGAGTTCTTGGAGCAGCCCCTACGGCTACGTCCCACGGGTGACTTCCAAGACCTGCCAGACTATAAGCCCTACCGTGGAAAGAGTGGGGGGGGGGTGTGATGACCTGGATTTAGAGGATCAATTCATCCAGAAATATTATTCGTGGGGATGAGTATCTGATCTTCCTTCCCCCCCCCAAAAAAAACACCTCCAGAAATTAGTTTTGCTACTTAGCGCCTCTCTTAAAAAGGAGGGAAGAGAAACCGAGAAGGAAGTGCCTGGTTTTTTTTTTGTTCTTTATGGGATGGCCGTGGAGTCGCGTTCACCTTCCCAGTGGCTGTGTGGGCTTGAGTGACTCCGGGGGAATATGTTTCGGCAGGTAAATCTTTGCCTGGATCCGGGAGCGACATCAGTTTCGTGCACAGATCTGTTTTCACGAGCTTATCTCATGATGGGCAAGCCTCCCTGACCTTGGTTTCCAGCAACGGTATTGATCTGGTATGCTGGAACAAGCCATCCTGTGCGACAGTTGCATTGCTGCTTCTCGATCAACCTTTGCAAATAGTCAAGACTTGGAATAACTTTGTTGTCACTTGAAATGTACCCTGATCGGCATACCTTAAAATGAAATTTCGTTGCCTAACAGTTCTCAAAGGGTCACCACCTGCAAAATACACTACATCAAACGCGACAAAATAAGGACAAAATTATGCACATACCCACATATATTATGATGGCATATAATACTATCGCATATAAAAAGATGTGATGTACAATATCTGAATCTCTTCTGTGGAAAAATCGGGGGGGGTGTGTCTTGTCACTTCTGCGCTACAAAATGTAATCTGTCTTTCCCGCTTTTGGAGAAGTGATTGTTTAATTTAAAAATGTAAGATGAACTTCCAAAGCATAATCAGCTAATAAACTTAATCCAGTAGAATTGTGAAATAAGCCAAGTTGGCAGTTAAGATGACTGATGCATGTTAAGCCATTACACTATTGAAGCATGTTAGCAGATGCAAGTGGAGAATTGATCTCCGTTGTCTTAACTTCACATACCCTAAAACGTATAATTTCTGGGAACTTCCCTACACTTTGGGATTCATGTTAGTCCTGTTATATGTTGGTGGAAGTGTTCTTGTTTTGAGTAATATACCTGATTTTTTTAAAGCAAGTGTATGATGCAGTTTGAGCAATTTTGTTGCACTTTCTTCAAGTGAATTCCACAAAATACAATAGTAAATTGCAGCTTGTCAGGATGTCGAAACTTTCACATTAGTGAGATTTGTTCATTTCTTTCATCATCATCTGATTCCAGAGTTATTACAACTTTAGTTGATTCAAATAACTTTTTTCCATATAAATAGGCATCAAGAGGTAAAGATGTTCAGTAATTTGTATTTTAAGGATTTCTAGGCAAGAGATATGAAATACTTTGTTCAAGATCTGATAAATATCAGAAAGACTAATCGTGTTGTCAGTTACAAGTTCGATTAATTCCAAACTTAACAATATAGCCCTAGAGGAGATTTGTGTTAACTTCTCCATAAACATAATTAGAGTTTGGATTTGTAGCAGTGCTTCCTTAACATTTTAGTCTACATTGATATACAGCTCTCTCTTTTTTTTTTTTCTTTCATTCAGTCATGTCTGATTCTTGGAGACTGTCTGGATAGGCCCCTGCAGTTTTCTTGGCAAGGTTTTTCTGAAGTACCATTGCCTCCTTCCTAGGGCTAATAGAAAGTCAGTGATGCAAAGTCACCCAGCTGGCTTTATGCCTAAAGTGGGACTAGAACTCAGTCTCCCAATTGCCAACCTGGTGCCTTAACCACTACACCAAATGGCTCCAAGATAGAAAATAACTTATACTCTTGGTATTTTAACTGTTGAAGAAATAAAGGTAACACAAATGAAAAGTAATGCCACTGTGTCATAGAAACTATATTAATTATACTTCTTTTAGGCCATTGATATGTCACCCTTTTTCTGATATACCCAAAACAATAAGTATTTAGAAAGTAATGGAAAAAAATGTTATATAGTACAATAATATACAGTAAAACAACAGAATGTATCATATTTAATATATAGAATATTTGTTTAGGTGCCAAAAAAGTTATTTTTTAGGTGGGATGGGGACCATATTAATTGAATAATAAATAAATTTTCAATATGGTCAAGAGTGAGTTTATCTTTTACATGCTGGTTTGAAATTTTATGTTTCTTAAAGTCTGTAATTTATCAACTTTGTTCAACACTCATAATTTTGAAAGCAGCTGTTTAAGAGTGGGCAATTTTTTGATGACCAGGCAACTTAACACTTAGGAGTGATGAAGAGTGCAGCGTATGTTATATATCCATTGATTAGGAAGTCAGCTATTGATATAGACTCCTTAGGCAGCTATGAGGCAGTTCTTACTGAATAAAAAACATTAGATATGTATTAAGGTCTCTCATATATAAAGGCATTGGATTTATGGCAATCTGACTTCTTCCTCCGAGATTTTTTTCCTTATTTATTTTTCACAGAAATTGATAGTAATAGAAGATACTTTTCCTGGGTTTCCCCAATATGAAATGCTGTAATACATTCGCAATTAAAAAGTACTTTTCTACTAGGCAGTAAAGTCATACGATATAGTAAAAACTATTGTTTGAAATCACAGTGGGATTTTCCAACTAGTATTTGTAGGTTCCTTCTTGGTTAGATTGTTATACTGCTGAGTGAGATAGTGGCTAAATGGGGCATGAGTTGCCATCAGTTTGCTGCGTTCTTATTATCCTGTTTTTTTCCAACATAGTTCAATAACTTCAGGTCTTATGTATTGACATTCCTAAGGGCTGCATAATAAATTGCTATTATGAATTGGAGACATACAATTCAATCCTTATTTCTGGTGTGTTTGCTTGTTTTTGCATTCTAGTCATAACATTAAATAGAGGTACTCTTTACTAGCTTCATTTAATAAGAAAGCTAGGAGGTTTTGCTGTGTTTCAAATCTGACGAATATCACAGTTCTTCACATGAGGGTCAGAACCTGACAGAATTCGCCACATCTTCCATGCAGCATAATCTTTCTTTCCCTATCGGTTTAGATCTTGCAAGGGAAACTATATTTGTGCTTTTTTGAAGGCAGGTTTAAAAGTGTTCATAGAACCTGTGGCCAAATAAACAGTATTTTGAATGCCGTGGATAGGAGCCATCTAATTCAGGTAAACTCAGCTTCCCTTTGGACCTCTTGAGTCAGTCCAAGGAGATAGGGAAAAGCAATGAGAAAGTACTGCATGGAGCCCCATGAAAGTATCTGTTTAAGTTCTCTCCTTTCAAGCAAATGCCTGAACATGGTTTATGACATTCCTATTGTCACTAAGAAAGCAATGTGGCAAAGGAAGCACCATTGCGACAGTTTAATTTATATCAGAATATTAACAAATTAAATATTTTTAAAAAATCAGGAAAAATACTTAGTTACAGGTCAATGAAGCAAATGGGATAATACAATGAAGTTAATAACTAGTGGAATACGAAACTTTTGACATTACTTATCCTAAATCTGACCCTGGATCTAGTGACTTCAGATCAGTAGAACTTGGAGCCAAGGACCCATAAAAAGAGGAAAGTCAGACTCATATACTCCTTATTTGACATAGATATGCAGATCTCCAGAATGTGACAGAAAACTTTAAAAAGCAGATGTTTCAAAAGTCTGGAATATCTGTCCAGTGTTTCACCTATGTGAATTTATTGTGGAAAATATAACATGAATAAATATGTTGGATACAAGAATATACTACAGTATGCAAGAGAAAACAGCATTATACCAGGTTTATACATAAAACAGTATTGTTGGGTGTATATATAAGTATCTGTCAGAGAGGAGATGTGAATTAAATAAATGTTAGATTAAGAATATATAAGAATAAGAATAATTTTATTTCTATACCGCCCTTCTCCCGAAGGACTCAGGATGGTATACAGCCTATTAAAAGCACAAGACAAACATCAATTAAAATAATTTAAAATTATTGAATAATTTGGCTCAGTTTAAAACCCCAGAAATTTAAAACACCCAATTTAAAATTATTACGTTGATAGCCCGGCCTGGCGGAACAACAGGGTCTTGAGTGCACAGCTAAATACCCGGAGGTCGGAGATCTTACACACTTCCGGAGGCAGTTCATTCCACAGGGCTGGGGAAATCATGCTGAAGATACATCAGCTAAATGAAATAAAATGTAGTTCATTCCCACATATATTTTGGAAAGATCTGCTAATTTATGACCAAAATAAAAATGTGAGATTGGTTAAACAATTTACTTTACAAGCTTTTATACAGAATCTATTAGTTCTTTGCCTGTGTGGATGTTAAACTAATTTTTGTTAACATTTTTGTCTTTTCTAACTTTTGCAATATAACTTGCATGTTAGTGTTCTTTTAAAAGACACTTTTTGCCTCAGGCAGTGATTTAGAATAAATTCTGTGTGCTTTAAGACCCCAAAGAGACACATAACCTCAGGGAAATTTGAACTCTTTAGTACATCTAATAGCAATTATGTTAATGGAGAACTAAATCAGAGATTTACAGAGAAATCAGAGATTTACAAGGGATTTAAAAAAAAAAGTAAGTATTTGCTGTCCTTGTAAAGATCCTTGGTAGCACATTCCATCTTCTTTGTTTGCTTCTGAACAAAGTGATGAAACTTCTCATAGATAACTAGAGGTTATCTAAGGCATGAATGTGGATATGGCAGTGTTTCTACTGGGTAAGGTAAAAATAAGCAGAGAATATATTTGCATTACTGTATGCTTTATATGACCTTTAACTACAGAATAAAGTAATTATACACATTTCTGCAAATATATTTGGAAAGCAAACTGACATTGTCATGGTTCATATAGTAATAAATTATGCACTTATAAACTTACCATATTACTTACTGTAGAAAAGTATTGTTACCTAAAATTACTTGCATGTTAAATAACCTTTTTAAGATTGAATTTTGGCAATAAAATAATCTAGATCAGGGGTGTCAAACTCGATTTCATTTAGGGCCGCATCAGGTTTGTGTTTGACGGGGGGGGGCAGAGTGGGTGTGGCTGGGGTGGGGGTGGACAGCTCAACGTCACTCGTGCTGTGGGCACCTGTGATGGCCCAAGCACTCTGCCACAAAAATGTCAAGGTCTGTTTTCAGCTGGGATGGCCTCCTGCAACCCTCTGCCAGCAAAAATGGAGCTCGGGATGGCTGCATACAACCCTCACAAGCTCAATTTTCGGCTGCGATGGTCTCCTGTAACCGCAGGCCACTCCTTTGCTGTTTCCAGGGCGGTCTCGCAGGACAGATCTAAGCACCTTGTGGGTTGAATCCAGCCCCGGGCCTTGAGTTTGACACCCCTGATCTAGATTATTGGGGGGGGGGGGTGTTTGTTTTTTTGCATTCTTATGGTCTATTTGGTTAGAACTCTGCTAGAATGAATGGTAGTACAGTACCCTAAAACAATCAAATATATGTAGCTGTGTGCTCTGAGACTCCTCAGTGTAGGTGATTTATTTTCTTGTAACAGTTGGATCAATTTACTTAGAGCTTTTTCTCTGAAAAAGAAAGTTGTTTCTGAATAGTTCAGTGGAATCTTGTGGTAGCCATTTAAAAAGAAAAAAAGCTCAGTCGATTTTAATGGAGGGAATTGAAGCTTAGCCTTTAATGCAGACTGTATGTTGAAATGTTTTATTACATTATCTCTCTGCTGAACTATCAAAAAATTCTGCCTTCAGCATTTTGTAGTTGATAAACTGATTGCCAGTTTTAGGCTTTCTTATCAAAAACTCTTCTTAAGCTTTTTGGGTTGAAGGTGATATCCACAGTAGTTTAAATTTTAGATGATTATGGAATTTTAAAAATTCTAAAATAAGAAAATTGACTTACAAATGAGTCCATGTAAGCTATTTGAATCAATCACTGTTAGTTATTAGTGGCATCTATGAAATCATATCTGTAAAACTTTCCAATCACATTTTATTAAGCCAGGTCAGTTCTTGTACCACTATTCTGCCAATTAGAATTTATCAGATGAAGACCAAGTATGTCCAGATTCTTTCCTCTCATGTATTCTTATAATTGCAGGCCATCAGATCACATATTTGTGGTTTAAATAATATTAGAAATTGTATATTAAATCAAATTTTATGTGCTATGTGTACTCTATAAGACAGCAGTTTTAGAAGATGAGAAGTTAATTAACTCTTCTTCCAAAACTTTGTCTAGAGCAGGATAATAATCCTGCTGTTCAGTACAGGTAGTCCTCAATTTATGACTACAGTTGGCCCCAAAATTTCTGTTCCTAAGGGAGGCAGTTAAGTGGGTTTTGCCCCATTTTACACCTTTCTTGCCACAATTCTTAAGTGAATCACTGCAATTGTTCAGTTAGAAAGACCACTGTTAAGATTCCCCATTGACTTTGCTTGTCAGAGGGTTGCACAAAGTTACCTCAGGACACTGCAACTATAATAAATATGGATCAGTTGTCAAGTGTCTGAATCTTGATTATGTGACCCATGCAAATTCTACAACAATTTAACTGTGAAAAAGATCATAAGTCACTTTTTTCAGTGCCATTGTAACTTTGAATGGTCACTAAATGAACTTTTGTAAATTGAGGACTACCTGTATATCAATAATCTCTAACTCATAAACAGTATATAGGCAATAATAAACAAAATACAATATTTTAAAATAAATTTTAAAATACATGGTCCTTCTCAAAGTTTAATAGGTGTTAATGGGCTGCCTAGTGGCAGAATGCAGCTGAGCAGTCTTGTTTAATGGTTCCTTCCTTCCTTCTTCCTTTTGCCCGAGGCATTCTTTCCATAAGACTGTTGGTAACCAGACCAATTTGTGGTCAGGTTAAAAAACAGAACATGAAGACTTCCCTTTGTTTCCAAATATATCTGTAAATTAGAGCAGTTACATATAAGGGATGTAGGGAATTGTCTGAATACCAATTTTACCAAACATTAAAATAGATGATTAATACATGTGATTGTAAAGTAAGGCTTGACAGTTATGTAGCATTATATATATAAAACAGAACACACACACACACACACACACACACACACACACACACACGTATATATATTGCAGATTTTGTATACATATGTTATCTATCGTTTTTCAATAGCCATCCAATTCTCTGAAAGTGATTCTGGGAAGTGCACATACAGAACTTAACTATAAAACACTTAACTATAGGAGAGGTTGATAACAACCAGAATATGGAAGCCATCACAAAATGTCCTCAATCCTCTGGGATTCCCCAGACATAATAACATAGCCAGGTCTTGAAGGACTTGGAGAATATTGAAAAGGATGGAACTAATCTTCCAGGGAGGAGAAGATCAAGGTGGGTGATGTGGCAAAGAAGGCCCACCTCCTGGGACTTCATCCACCAGACGAAGTTCCCTGGCAGACGGGACCTGCAGGACGGCTTCTCTGTTAGACCTGACAGGGCAGGCAGGCGTAATCTGGGAAAGCCAGTCCCTCAGCTAACCCAGGCTCATGGCCATGAAGGGCTTTAAAAATCAAAGCCAGCACCTGGAATTGGACCCAGAAGCACACTGGCAACCCATGCAGCTTGCAGAGGAGAGGTATATGATAGTCCTTGACTTATGATGACAATTGAGCCCAAAATTTCTGTTGCTAAGCAAGACATTTGTTAAGTGAGTGTTGCCCCATTTTATGACCTTTTTTGCCACAGTTGTTAAGCAAATCACTGAAATTGTTAAGTTAGTAACACAACTGTTAAGTGAAACGAGCTTCCCCTACATACCGCCTATCAAATATCCGAATTTTGATCATGTGACCATGAGGATTCTGCATCACAGAGTTGTAAGTGTGAAAAACTTTTTTCAGTGCCACTGTAACTTTGAACGGTCACTAAATGAATGTTTGTAAATCAAGGACTCCTGTAATGTATATAGGTAAAAGATTGTAAAATGGGACACTACTCACTTAACAGCTGTCTTGCTTAGTAACTGAAATTTGGGGTTCCATGGCTTTATGATTGTGATGAAATACAGTTCCAGCAAAATAACCACAAAAGAGACTAAATGATATCCCCAAAGAAATTGGTAGACAGCCTGTATATAAATATTATTAATTAACGACATAAAAAAACATCTTTAGTTATTAGACTTCAGGACTTCAGAAAGGTCTCAAACTTTCCTCATGTTTAACTGAAAAGGAAGAAAGCAGTCGTTATTTTTTCCTCAACATTTTTTTTAATTGTAGTTTTCTGCTGATTTTAACATCTTACAGATTTCTTGTTTAAGCTATCTTCCTCAAGTAATGTACATTGAAAAGAACCTGATCTCCAGTAATCACCAGAAATAGGTATTGTGTAGTGTAATAGAGAGAGGAGTGTGAGAATGCAAAGATACATAGCAACTGTCTGCAACTTCTTAAACCAAAGGTGTTGTTTCCTGGGGTTGCGGTGTAGCTATGCAAGGCAGCTATACAATCTTGATACAAGATGGAACCAATTTAATGAGTCACAGAAAGATGCTCCCTTTTCATCTGTATTCTCTGGAACAGATTTTTGCTTCAAATCCAAAAACTGCAGTCCTAATGTCTGCAAATTTGTTTTTGTTCTGTCAATCTTGGTTTGGCTCTAAGCTGTTTCGCTAACCTGTTAATGGAATTTCCTTTTGAGCTATTATTACTCTTAACTGTGATATTTAAAATATGATCTACATCTTTGCCATTTATCATTTTTTTAAATACATTTTACTATTTTATTAGGAAGTCTAGCTTTCTGTGCTATTAACTGTTTATTTCATAGCTATAATCTTGTTCTTATTTTAAAAAAAGAGAGAATAACTAATACTTCTTACCATGTGTAATGTAGCTGTGTTCAAAACAAATTCATAGGTGAATTCATGGTAATAGATCGTTTTGTGCAGAGGTTGACTTGTATATTTTGAGAAAAGACTCACACAATCAGAAACTGGAAAGTTATTGAAACCTCATTTCAGAGACTGCAGCCCTTAAATTGCAATTGCCTATGTGACAACTGGATTTCCTAAGATACGTCCACAGTTAGTGTCTTGATAACAGGACTTGTTATCTGTTATTTCCAAGAGGTGGCATATATTTGTCTTTTTAAATTGGTTTGACTCTCTAAAAGTTTGTTTCTCCTGTAAGTATACTGTTGGCTTTAATTAATGACAAACATTTATGGTTTTATTAATGTTTCCCATGATACTGCAGTTGCTACTTTTGATTATTATTATTTTCCATGTATTGTTTATGTTTTAGGTGCAAGAAAATTCACCAGGACATAGAGCTGGATTGGAGCCATTCTTTGATTTTATTGTTTCTATTAATAGTTCCAGGCTGGTAAGTGAATCCCCAAATTAAAACTTACGGGTGGGTACCTGAAAACATAAATCCAGATTTATAACTTCACAATCCAATGTTATGTAGTTATGCCTGGGGAGGGAAGGTAATAAATTTTTCCCAGTTGAAAAGAGCTCCTGACTTATAAAAAAATAATTTGAGACCTGCTTGTACAAGCAAATCTGTTTCCTCTGGGATGTTTAGTTCGCGAAAGGAAACACATTGTTCCAGGCATAGATTCCTTTGATTCAAAATTCCTACTGATGGGTTGTTGATGAAAGAATAAATAGGTTGTTTTCTTGATTTAATTCCTATCTTGGTAACTATTATATGAATTGATTATATGACAAATGAAGGCAAATAAATATACGTGTCCCAGGATAATGTTGCAACATCCAATCTGGGTTGGTTACCAGGACTAGAGATTTAGTCTTCCAAGTTTTCGGACTGGTACTGGAACCAGTCAGGGAACTTTTTTTCAAAGAAACACAAGAAGTTCACTGAGGATGGGCTTCAGCACGAGTCTGAAAGCTCGGAAGACTAAACCTCTGGTCCCGGTGGCCGACCCAGATTGGATCCTCATTTTATGAGTCCAGAGAAGACAAGATTATGATACCTGGGTTTTCCATGCCTTTTGAAATACAGGTAGTCCTCAATTTATGACCACAATTGAGCCCCAAATTTCAGTTGTTAAGTGAGACATTGGTTGTGTGAGTTTTGCCCCATTTGCCACAGTTGCTAAGTGAATTACTGTGGTTACTTAGTTAGTAACCGGGTTGTTAAGTGAATCTGGCTTCCCCATTGACTTTGCTTGTCAAAAGATTGCCAAAGGTGACCACATGACCTTGAGACACAGCAACCATCATAAATATGAAAGAGTTGTCAAGCATCTGAATTTTGATCATATGATCATGCAGCTGCTACAAGGGTGTAACTGTGAAAAACAGTCATCGGTCACTTTTTTCAGTGCCGTTGTAACTTTGAACAGTCACTAAATGAACTGTTGTAAGTCAAGGACTACCTGTACTGTATGAAATCCCTGGCTTCTCCATTTCAGCTGTGAAATTTATATGGGTGGTTGAGGTACATATTAAGTGTAGTTGGCAAAAAAAAAAAACCATCTTGGTTTTTCAGAAAGTTTTTAAAAACTGACTGATTTTTTCAGCCGGGGGGGTCAGTTGGGGTATCGTTAATTTATTGTTGATTGGTGTCATCCAGTCTAAATGCAGATGCTGAGGGAAAGTTAGTATATGGTATATATGGTTTGTTATGAGGAACAAATAATTTTTAGAAGAGAGAATGATTAAAATTATAAGAGCAGGCTTCTGCCCATTTTCTTGTAAGAAAATGAGAATTTGGTGCATTAGGAAAGGCATAGGTTTAATGCTAGGAATGCGCAAAACGTCCTATTAAAATGTTTTTCTATCAAATACTTTGAAATGCTGATACATTGCCATAGCGTGAGCATAACTGCCAATGAGTTTAGCGAATTTTTATCTTTATACCTTCGTTAGAATAAAGACAATGACACGCTGAAGGACCTGTTGAAAGCCAATGTGGAAAAGCCTGTTAAGATGCTGGTCTATAGCAGCAAGACCCTGGAGCTCCGAGAGACATCCGTAACCCCCAGCAACATGTGGGGAGGGCAGGGCTTGCTGGGCGTGAGTATTCGATTTTGCAGCTTTGATGGCGCCAATGAGAACGTGTGGCATGTGCTGGTAAGTAGAAGCTCTGTTTTTATTTTTTATTTTTTTATTAGAGAACAAAAAGATTCTGTGTGAAGAATCTTCCGGTTTTAACTTCCTTTTGGCTATGTGCTTCCAATAGGAATTCACCCAAAATGGCGTAGAAAAAAAACAATTAGTTGCATATATCTCTTTACTGCACTTTCTTCATTAAATTAAAATCGCTATCAATAAAAAAAGTGTGATGGCTATCATAGAGTTTGTTGCATATCTAGAAATAAAGCTTTTCCATATGTTTTTGGTGAATATTTTTTTAAAAACAAGGAAGAGATAACATTCACCAACATCGCAATACATTTAATGCATTGTTACTTATATTACTTTGTCTCCAAAACAGTAATCAATGTGCAAATACTTTTTGGTACATACCTGTATATGCACATTTTCAACAACTTCTCTATTTTGAAGACTGTCTTTTTTTTTCCTGAAGTGCATTTAATTTGTTAAGGAAACTGAAAAAATATTTTAGTGGTTATGGGGCAAAAGTGTGGAGCAATTCTTAATCATACTGACACCTGGAGTATCATTTTCTCTCTTTTTCTTCTCAAGCCCCCCCTTCCTTTTCTTCTCTCCCACCAAGTATAAATTAACACTAACAGAGTTGGAAGAGATCTTTGGAGGTCTTTTAGTCCAAACCCCTGCTCAACAATAGTCCTATACCATTTCAGACAAATGGCTGTCCAGTCTCTTCTTACAGTGTGCATGTGACCATGTAGTCATCAGCAGTTAACTTGATTTTAGAGAGTTTTTAATTTTTTATCTATCTTTTGTACTTTTCTTGGTCTGATTAAGGTATTTACTTTTTTTTAAAAAAATTATGTCTTGTAATTAGGAAGTTGAACCAAATTCTCCTGCTGCAATTGCAGGTCTTAGACCTCATAGTGACTACATCATTGGGGCAGATACTGTCATGAATGAGGTAAATATGTTATTTCATTTATTTAAAAAAAATCAAGATTCTGACCATTTTAGACTGAACTCAGATTGCTCATAATTATTTGCAATTGGTTTTGTGATAAGAATTGTTGAGCTTTCTTTTTGAGTAGTCATACATAACTTAGAAATTAATATTTATTATTATTAATTTTATTAATAATTTAAAGATGAGCAGAAAAAAAAGTAAAAACAGCAAGGAAAGGTTATTTTAGAATTTGTGCGTACATGCATTTTTTATTTTTTCTTATCGGTAGAAACAAACTAATGAATGTTGTCATCTGCTAAAATGAGAAATTCAGCTCATTCTGAATTTCAGAACATTAAAATAAAATAAATAAAATATTGTTGATTAAAATTAATTGAAGTGTTAACTAAATATGTTTTTTCCTTAGTCTGAAGATTTATTCTCTCTCATTGAAACACACGAAAGCAAACCATTAAAACTTTATGTATACAACACTGATACTGATAATTGCCGAGAAGTCGTTATTACCCCAAATACTGCATGGGGTGGAGAGGGAAGGTAAGTTGATTTTGTTCAAAGAGATATGAAATGTGATTAAACTCATCATTTTGGTACTGTTTCTGGGTTGTTTCCACACAGTCAGATTTGTACCAAACTGGGCAGATGCAATGACAGTGTAAATATTTTTCATAGATTTAATTTATGTTAAGTATTTTAAGATATTTATTGTTCACCCATGAACTCCATTTGCATTTTGAACAGACAGAATGTATGAGGAATAATTTGCTAGTGTGATTCTGTTTTACAATAAAACTTCTTAGGGTAAAATTCATGTCAAAACTCAACTCACATAACTGCAAGATTTTGTTCATCCCCTTTTACTGAAAACAGGCTTTAAATTTTCATGTTGAGTGAATACTGTAATTCTGTATATTATGAATACTGTATTTCATCTAGGTTTCAATTAATTTAGAAAATAAATGTCAATTCTATGGGGCTACTGATTTCTTTTGGCTGTATAATTTTCCATGTGACTTGTAGATTTTTAATTAAGTTTTTAATGACCCACTTCAAATTCATAGTGTATTAATATGTCCCTATATCATGAGAATAGGGACGCAGTGCTCAGTGGCAGTTCAGCGGTTCGAATCCCTAGTGCCACGTAACGGGGTGAGCTCATGTTACTTGTCCCAGCATCTCCCAACCTAGCAGTTCGAAAGCATGTAAAAAAATGCAAGTAGAAAAATAGGGACCACCTTTGGTGGGAAGGTAACAGCGTTCCATGCACCTTTGGTGTTTAGTCATGCTGGCCACATAACCACGGAGACATCTTCGGACAGCGCTGGCTCTTCGGCTTTGAAATGGAGATGAGCACTGCCCCCTAGAGTCGGGAACGACTAGCACATATGTGCGAGGGGAACCTTTACCTTTATATCATGAGAAATAAAGTTCTTCATTCTGTTCCTATTTAGCTGAAAAGAGAATAGTATGCAAGGTGATCCTTCACTTATAACTGGTCACTTAGCAACCATTCAAAGTTATGATAGACCCAAAAATAGTGATTATGATCTGGATTTAAAGTCTCAATAGTTCCCCCCCTCTCCCACTCCTGGTCTGTGATCACACTTTGGGCCTGCATTTATGGACATTTTCAAAGTCCCACAATCAGATGACTACTATTTATGGTGGTTTTCGGCATTTACTTCCGGTTTCAGCAAATAATACCGATTGCAAAGAATGAGTTCATTTAACAGCTGCAGCATTTGTTTAACCACCACAAAAATAAAATCCAATGTGGTCACATGGTTAACACATTTAACAACCAGCACAGCCTACAGCCATAACTCCAGTCTCAATTATGGTAGTAAGTTGAGCACTTCTTATTAAGGCAAATTGACAAATGAAAGAGACATACCTCTATATTCCCATGAAATTCCCATGGGATTTCTGTATAATTATGTAACTATCGGGGGTCCTTGAAAAGCTTTATTCTGAGGGAGGGAAGGCTATGGAGTTGTTCATTAGATACTTTAGGCCATGGGATTTTATATGGCCAACCATTCAAATGTTTCTAGTTATTTTTTTAGAGTCCTTATGTGTCTTGGTGGCAATAGTTTATAATTGCTCTAGAGATGTGTAATTTTTGGAAATGAGCACAATCCTTAAAAATGAATTAAAGTTGATATTTTCAATACCATGCACGTGCTGCTATTAAATTCATAAATGTAGTATGGCTATTTAAGGATATTGTTTAAATTCTGTCCGTACAATTCCTCAAAGACAATTCATTGGCATGGGATAATTGTGAACATATTTAAGGTTAATCTCGTTTTTTTCTTTCTTTATATTTAAAGCCTAGGTTGTGGCATTGGCTATGGATACCTGCATCGAATACCTACTCGTCCTTTTGAAGAAGGAAAGAAAATTTCTCTTCCTGGGCAGTTGTCTAGTACACCTATTAGTCCGCTCAAAGATGGCTTCACAGAAGTAAGTTGTCATCCTTTTCTTTTGCAGCCTACAGTGTGACTCTCCGAACCACTTCTGGTGGAATAATATTCCTGTTTTGTAACGTATTATTCCGATATGTACTTTACTTTTCGGAATATAAGACCCACTTTTTTCCCCCCTTAAAGAGGTTGGAAATGTTGGTGCGTCTTATACACCAAATACAGCCATTTTTGGCCTCCCAAAACCCCGCCCTGTGCGTCCCATTTTTGCCAAAAACAGGCCCATTTTTCGCAAAAATGGGACGCGCAGAGGGTTTGGGAGGACTGCAGCGTGCTCCTGGGAGCTGGGGAGGGCAAAAACCAGACGCGCAGAGGCCAAAAACTATTTTTTTTCTTGTTTTCCTCTTCGAAATCTTGGTGCATCATACTTGATGCGTTTTATAATCGAAAAATATGGTATGTTCTTTTCTAAGCATTTATTTCTTGTAACATCTTACAAAGCAGCAGCTCTCTGATAAAACAAGTGATCTTTTTAATTAGGTGCAATTGTCTTCAGTTAATCCCCCTTCTTCACTACCACCTGGAACTACAGGAGTAGAACAAGGCTTGGCTGGTCTTTCCATTAACACGACTCCTGCTGTCCCTAACGTGCTCAGTACAGGTTTGTCTTTTGTGTAATCCTAATACCAGTGTTCTGTTTTCTAAATGTAATTATATCGGGTGAGTGACAGTCTATTTAACTTACGTGCCATGTACAGTAATGTGCTGTATAGCTACCAAATGGAACATTACTGGAGGGCTGGGTGGAGAAGGGTCTGACTCTTGAAGATGTTGTCTTGAAGAACAGATGTTAAAATCTCAGTTTTCCTCCTCGATGCTCCGACACTCCACTCATTGGGACTTCTTTCACTTTCATTAAACCGACTGGGTGCCATTCAAAATCTCCTCCACAGCTTGGTCCCGCCCACTTCAACTGCGCATGTCCAGTCCTTTCACTCAGTCAATGGTGACCAGACTGGAGTGCTTTATTCTCTAGTGTTCATTGTGCAAAATTAGACAAATAATTGGAAAGTTTTAATTTTACAAGCTATTGGCAGAGAGATAGAATAAATAGAATTCTGACATCTTTCTTCTGTGTTTTGTTATGGTGGTGGTGGTGGTGGTGGTGGTTGTTTATTGCTAGTCTTATGAATCTGCAGTAATTTGATTCTGAGGGGGTGGGATACACTCTGGAACTCCACACATTGCAGCACAAGGTTTTTCATTAAGGAGAATAAATGAGCAAATATGAGAGTTCTCTAATGCATCCAAAACACTAATTAGGTTTTATTTTCTGTCCAATATTTTTCTACATTTTTAATGTTTTAGAAAATTTTAAAAATCATCTCTTTGGCCAAATTTTATATATGGTAGGTGATCAGCAGCAAGCATTGGCTGTATCTCACCTACCTTTGTCACCTTGAGATAAAACAAGGGAATAGGGGCTTACAGCAAATTCCTATTTTCTCTTACAAAGCAATAACAAGCCACAAAACAGTCCAGTTGCATTGCTTGGAACAGGTGGAACCCACAAAATGATATTTCTCAAAACACACAAGCACTGAAGCAGAGTTCTCCAAATGCAGATTTCAAGCTCATAACATTGGATTCGTTTTTGCATGAACGCTTTTCCTAGTTGTCTTGAACACTTTAAATCTAAGGAAGTACGAGAAGATGAATATGGTTTCCTCCCAAATCATTTCATTTTAGATTACTCGGGTTCATTCATTCATTCCTATTTTCATTTTAGAATAAAGTTACAAAACAATAACACATATTAATTATTTTGGCTTGTTTTTTTTAATTTATTTTCAACATTGAGGGACATGCTCTGACACAAAAGGACTTGACATCTCCATCTTAAAAAAAATTGAAAGTGGTTAATAATAAAGATTTTTGCTAGAAAACCTAAAGGCTACTTTTAAGGTAGATGGGTTGGGCTAGGTCAGACATTTTGCTGGATATGTTCAAAATAGCATTTGAAAGATAATATGGCTTGATTTTTCATTAGGTGTTCCTACAGTACCATTATTGCCTCCTCAAGCAAATCAATCTCTTCCTCCAATTAACTCAGCACCTCCGTTACCAGGTATGAGATATAAATGTCGATGAACATTTTTGTATGTAATAGTGAAAAGGGTGTTTTCAAAAACAGTGGATATAAAAAGTCTACACACACACCCCTATTAAAATGCCAGTTTTTTGAGATGTAAAAAAAAATCAGACCAAGATAAATCACGTCAGAACTTTTCCCACCTTTAATATTCTGAAGTGATTTATCTTGATCTGATTTGTTTACATTTCAAAAACCTGACATTTTAACAGGGGGGGGCGTAGACTTTCTGTATCCCCTGTAGAAAATAGTCTGAATTTTTTCTTTCATTCACTACAGTATCTGAGTAGATTTTTTTTTTAAATTTGACTCATGCTGTATCGTTGGTTAATTTTCAGATGCCGCTCCAAGAATGTAGTTTTAGATATATTACGTTTGCTTATACCGAAGAGAACTCAGAACTAGTTCTGAGAACAAGAAGTGCTAGCCAAAAAATTATGATAATTTTATTTCAATTAATATGTGGTGTGGCTAAATATACTATTTCAATTAATTGAAAACCATCCATCTTTTTATAGATACTATAAATTAGAATGTAAAAAAAGATGCATTTTCATTTCATATTATATGAATAGAGAGAGCCAGTTTGGTGTAGTGGTTAAGGCACCAGGCTAGAAACTGGGAGACCATGATTTCTAGTCCCACCTTAGGCACAAAGCCAGTTGGGTGATTTTGGACTAGTTAGTCCTTCTCAATCTTAAGAAGGAGGCAGTGATAAACCACTTGCAAAAAATCTTGCCATGAAAACTGCAGGGGCCAATCCAAGCAGTTGTCAGGAGTCAACACTTATTTGAAGGCAAACATACGCACACATATGCAAATACACAAAAATGATATGAGTATACCAGAACCAAGATAATCTTAATTTAAGAATTTTTTAAATAAAATCTTCCATAGTCTATTTAGTGGGCAATTCACTTGATATTTTGTTTACATGAGCCCTAAAAGAGAATCTGACATGAAATGAATTTTTAATAGCAGCTCTCTTTTTCAACTCAAGCTCTTTGTGAAGTTTGTTTAAAACATGCATTCATACAAGATAAAAACAATTAAAAAATAAGTATAATGACTCTTTACCTCAAGGTTAGCACTAAAGACCTTGCGTGATTGGATTACCTCCACAGTGGTCCAGACTGGATGAGGATGTTTTAACAGTTTTGGACTGAGTATCTTTGTGCAGTCTTGTGTCTGCCTTTGAAATCAAATGTATGGTCTCAGCAAATTAGTGCAGGTTAGAATTTACAATTTGAAGGAAAAATATATATAACTGAAAAGCGTTCTTATATGAGGACTATTCCAAATATACAAAAAAGACATAGGTGGCCTTGTGTCCTAACATGACAAAAATAAATAGAAATGGGAACTGGGAACTCTGAAAGGGAAAGAACTGTACTGGTGTAGCAATGAAACCTATAAGACTTGGAAATATTTTGCAGTTTATGAGTAACAAGACCTTTGCTCCTTGTCCATCAGTAACATTTGGGACAGTATTCATATACATTTTTGAAAATCATAGAAGAACCGTTCTCTGAAAAGATTTCTTAAAGGTATATAATACAAAGGATTATAGAAAAATTGCAGCTGTGGCCTCAGAGGGAGACCTCTGAGTCTCCCTCTGAGGGCTGGGCAGGGGACAGAATGCATCTGCCCTCAGTGTGGAAGGGATTGCCACTCTCGAATTGTCCTTTTTAGTCACACTAGATGCTGTTTTAGGACTTCTTTCCAGAGCATGATACCATAGTCTTTTGAGACTGAAGGAAGCCAATGATGATGAGAAAAATGGCACTCACTGTATATATCTGTCTCTCTTGTAAATAGATTGCTTCTTAATACATTATGTGAGGGAAGGAAGTACATGCTGGCTATTTCCATCTACGCCCATTCCTTGAAGTGATACACACGACCAAGGATATCTTCTGGATATCCATGTGTCTAATGTTCTCTCTTCAACATATTGTGATTGTTAGAAAAGACTCAAAGTGTTCCTCCAATAAATGCCTTTGTCACTTTTTTTTTTCTGCTTCTGCAAGTAATATGAACTTCTGAAATTTAGTATCTTATTTTTATTAGGATTGATGGCTTTACCTGCTGGACTTCCCAACCTGGGGAACATCCCTAACTTGAATTTACCTGGTCCGCATTTAATTCCTGGTCCTGGATTAATAGACATTGGGCAGCCTGGTATGTTTTGATAAATTTCTGAACTGACACCTAATAACTCTGCCTAATGATTTTAGTTCAGCCCTGTTGCACATGACTTTATGTAACCACTAAATTATCTTAAGCTTATAATAAGTAAGGCTTCCATATGTTTGCCTGTAGCCCAGTTTAATTCGGTATCATAACATTTAGACCCCATTCAGGTGAAGAAAAGCCCCTGAAATCCTATAGAGAATCCTACGAAAGGAGAACGCTTTCCCTTATTTTTCTTGCAGTCCCAACACTACTGTGCATTATTACACAATTTGTGTCCCTAGATTCTTCCAAAAATTACTGCCATAATATAACTGATAAAGAGAAGGGAAATAAATAGATGGAGATTAACTGTTTCTTTATTTTAATTTTATGTTAATTAGATTTAAATTTAAATTATTTTAAGTTAAATTTAGTTTCTGTTCTTATTCTTTTTGGAGTGCCACTTCACCTGCTAATCAGGATGCTGTTGTGTGCTAAAAATTAAAACTAGATTTGGCATCAACTAAACAACAACCATCATGTCATATTTCATTGGCATACTTGAGAATAGAAAGTAATGTTAAATCTTTTTGATGCATTATTGTCAGTGGTACAATATTACTGTGAAATAAAAAGCTTCCTATGTAAATGTAAAGTACAGTTCTACATTTACTGCATAAAAATGCAAAAAGCTCTATGAACCCTGGCATATAAATTGATTTTTTATATTCAAGTCATTTTTCTGAAATCTTCATGAATAGATATTGGATAGGACAGAATTCAGAGGACCGTGAAAACAGAATCATATGCCCTTTAGTTTGTCTGCATGTTTTTGGCTAATGGTTGTTTATTCATTTGGACTCTATAAGCTGCATAAAGGAATGTGATTTTTCTGAAGGGGAGGGGAGGATTCTCATATGAAATACCTGTGCCATAAGAAGTTAACAGCAGTCTTAAAGCTTTGATGTGTTCTGATTAATACGAGACCTGGCAATCTCTATAGGCAACAAGGGGTCCTTAAGTGGTGGGCCATGATCCTTTAAGAGTCATGAGGAACTTTTAATAAAGTAATAACATTTTTGTTTCTTGCTCACACAAAGCAAGCTTATTTTGTGCCCAATCTTAACCCTAATGAAATAATTAGTATATTAGCTATCACACTTCCATTTATTATTTTAAGAGGAAATGGAACTGCAAAATGTGTGACCCTCCAGGAAATCAATCTCTGTAGTAGAAAGATCTTGCTCAGGATACACATTTGTAGGGACTCTTATGGAAAGCCTCTTCTCTTAGGTTCTTTGTATATATCCCTACCATCTTCCTTGCAATACGCAGATGCAGTGTAAAATTGCTCTTTACAAATGACATAGCTCTGTAGGCTAATGACTTACGCAAGTAGACTGCAAGCTCGTTTTTGTCTTCTGATGTTCTTAGGATTGCCACCACTTCCTTCCTTGCCTCCAGTCAACCTGTCTGGGATTGCACCTCTATCACCGGAATTCCTTGCCAAGTTCCCATTGGTCAATGAGATACCCACTCTGCCTACGGATCTGTTGTCTTCTGTTCCCATCACAACAAGCTTCCCTGCGAATCCTGGCACGACTGTAAATGTGGAACAAACCTCTGCACACATTCTGGATACGGCTGTTCCTCCCCCCATGGTTACTACTGCTGCTTCTAATGCTTCCACTGTCAAGGCATTGTCTCCTGAAGACAGAGGAGATGGGATAACTTCCTTCAATGAAAAGCCAGCACCCTTGGTCACAGATACGGCTGTGTCTGAATCATCATAACTTCAACTGATTGATTGGATTGGGCTTGATATATTTATTCAACAACAGTATATGCAAACTATCATTACTTTCATGCTAGTTTGTATTTTGTTGTCAGAGTTCTTGTAAATATACAGAAGGTGACTTAAGAGTCCAGATTTTTACAAAGGGCTTGGTGTAGGGTAGAGAAAGGGGAAGGAACTGCTTATATTTAAAAAAAAAAAAGAATAATAAAAAGGAAATATCAAGGTAGGATATGCAGGTGTCCGCTGCCAAAATTGAGGATTTTTTAAAGAAAAGGTGTAATCTGACTTCAGTAGGCTACCTTGCTTACTTTCCCCCCCACAAATTTGCTTCTCTTAGAAATGAGCAAGTAATTCATGCTTGTAGTATATGAAAACTTTTTTTCTTGTACTTTGCAAGAATTAGAATTTTGGTAATACATTGTGAGGGGTAAAAGTATTTACTTTTGTCCAAGTTGTACATTTTAGCAGTATAAAGATCTTCAAACTAGAGCTCTTTTATTAAAAACTTCAGAACACAATTTGTAAATTCAGCCTCATTTTTAAATCTGCCTGTATGCAGATCTTTCTGTTGAGCTACTGCCCTTTTACCTAAACCTAGCCTCTGTTGCTTTGCTTTATGAGCCCACTGTCAAAAGTATTGTGAAGAAGTCAAAAGGAAACCTCATAATATTGGACATAGCTCAAAAACAGGAAGATGAAACTTTTGACCTTTTTTTTGTAAAACAGGTTGTATTGAAAGAGCTTACATAATGGCAATAAATTCTGAGGATTTTATCTTGTAGCATTGGGTGAGCATATTATTAAAACTGAACAGGAGTAAATACACAATTGTAACACAGTTTGGGAATGAAAAACATTTCCCAGGCGCATATATTTCTCCTTTCTCCCCCCCTCCCCAAAAAAATTTCTTATTGTTGGTTTTGCTGAGTTGGAATTTCTGGAAGGCCACGGTTCTCCAATTCTATAGAAAATATTTTTTTAAAAAAAAACTTAATTATTAATTGTGGCCCAGCTAGTAGCAATTTAGATGTTATAGCATTCAGCTTCAAATCTAATTCTGTGATTATTCAGTATGGGCCTGAGCAAGGAGCCTTAGATTAATTGAATCCAGATAATTAATACAACTCTTTTAAACATATATATTGTTGAAAAATTGGCTTTCCTTTTCATGTAATTTTGGAGTTCTAAAGCAAATATTAAACAAATCAACACATACAATGTATATGATTTCCTAGTTGTTACCACCCCTCCAGAAGTTTAATTTTAAGGTCTCAGGTGAATGAAAGGCTATATTAAGGTTCGGTAGGCAAACACTTTGTTCAGTGACACTGCTTTGTTCATACATAATTGTGTGTATAACACTTGACAGTTTTTAGTCTCTTGAAAGCATTACTTAAGAGACGGTCTCTATTTCCTGTCCTGATGGGAGAAAGAGGAAGAGTAGTCTGCCTTTCCATTACTCCTGATCCTTTCAAAGGGATCCATTGTAGTGGTAGTGCACCCTCACATCTGAGAAGAGATCACTGCCAAGATCATGACTATCTCTGAAAAGCAGAAAATGGAGTACAGTGTGTTCTGCCAAAAACAGGTACAGTAAATGGCTCTCCAATGTTAACAGATATAGTATGCTTCCATTTTAAGTGAAATATTTCCTGCCTACTAGTAAAATGATGATATTCGTGTTTACTCAAAAGACCTCCTGGTTCAGACAGCTTATGTCCAAGTTATTTGTGGAATATCAACCTTGATCTGGGATTGCAGGGTTGATAACTTTTCTATGTCCCTTCTGACTGTCTCCAAGAAACCGTTCTGAGTTTCAGTACTCATAGAGAATTAACTATCACTTTGCCTCCCCATGCAACAGTGACGCCCCATTTCAAGAATGGAAGGAGGAAAATCATAGTCCCATTTCTGCATCCTTACAGAAAACTGATGTCTCTGGAAACTGAGCAAGTTTTCAGAACATTGATTAATCTTTCATATATGATTTCCGGCAAACAGGAATGTGTCACTATTGGTTTCGCTTATACAGAGATGTAGATCAAATAAATAAATCAGAAAATCTGCCAGAAGGGCACTGACGTTGCTGAAAGGAGAAGTGTTACACAATTAAACCTGGGTATGAGTCAGCTTGTAGAAAATGGCTGAGGCTATTTTTCAGCCAAAGACTTGAAATGAAGACTACATTGGTAGATGTATCTTTGTCGTTTTGGAGGCAGTCACAATCATCATAACACTTCGTCTCACCAACCAAACAGTAATTCAAGCTTGGAAGAAAAAAATTGAATGTGCTCTGGTCACAACTCGTAATACATTACGACACCTAAAAAGTGTACTGTGCACTGATGAAAAACACAGAAGCATCTCTTGATAGTATTCCACAAGATGGTTTTTCTGGCAAAACGAGGGAGGAAGCTTTTGTGGGTTCTGTCCTTTTGCTGCAGAAGTTTCTGGACATCTACTCTAAAGAAATTGGAGATATTTGGGAATATAGCTCTGGAGGATACAGATTGCAGCAAGTTATCTTCCTTCCTGCCAGGAAGAGAGACTACTGCAAGTCTGCTCTTCTGATTTCCGGCGCTCCCGCGTGCATGAAAGCCAGCTGGCATGCTGGAACCCAGAAGAGAAACGTGATGACTGGCGTGCCCGGATAGATGGCTCTGCATGCCACTTCTGGCACGCATGCCATAGGTTCGCCATCAGGGTCCTATCAAATGCTTCATTTGCCTATATAAAACAATCAAAACATACTATGATTCTGCTGGGCATTACAAATGTGATGCTGTTTCTTCCTCCAGAGTTATTGCTGCCTACAATGTCTCCAAAACATCAGAAATGTCCTCAGAAATGGCTCTACCATCACTAGAGCTGCTACTGCAGTTTCTACTTGTATAAAAGGCTCTTAAGTTTAGTGAAGGGTCGATTACTGTCCCTCTTTAGCAGAATTGAGCTGAAGCTGTAAAGTTTGCACGAATATCACCTGTTTGCAAGTAATGAATATTTGCCTTGGAGGGCGTGAAAGATTAAACATAGTCTTTATTTTCAAGGGGTATTTCCATCGGAGAGTTCCTTGTAGTTTCCTTAGGTTATAAGTGAACTAGCATACAGCAGCTTCTCTATATGAAAATTAAATTATCACCAGTTCAGTACATAGAAAAAAACAGTGATACTGATCCCTTAGATCATCATACCAACATAATTCAGAATAAATATGTATGGACAAGAGGTAACAAGGTCAATAGTTCTGACAAGATGACCCTAACAATCACAAGAACAAAAACTTTTGTTTCTTGCAAAAAGGACAACAGTGTCGGATCCAGATTTTGTCATAAAAAAAAATATATTGTCTCAAAAAAATAAAGCATGGCTGCAAGTCATTAAAAATATCCCTGTAGATCCACTCCAGCCAAGCAACTTGTCCCTGCTTATATGGTGTAAACTAAATAGAATGCAGAGCAAACATGAGTCAATACATTGTAAAAGTCAACAACTATCCACAAAGTATTTATTTACTTAAATCGCCTGATAGGCAAAGCTATCTTGATAGTTTACAATAAAACTCAATAAAAATACAGAATCAGAATAAAAGCATAACACAAAAAAATAGAAAGTAAACATATCCTATAATTTGGTGGCTGCAAGGTGGACATCCAAAAACTAAAACAATATAAATTAAAATGCAGTAAAAGCATGATAAAAGCCACTTTAAAAGCTGGAGAAAGTAGAAGGGTCTTCAGATGTCCCAAAACAACGCTGGTGTGGATGTCAGTTAAGCCTCACGGGGAAGGGAATTTCATAAACAGTGCCAGGCCAGGGCTGTCAAACTCCCAGCCCACGGGCCTGATGCATCACACGCTGGCCACGGCCACACCCGGTTTAGCGAAGGGGGGAGGGGAAGTCCCAATACGTCACGTGACGCCGCCGTAACGATGTGAGTTTGACACCCCTGGCTTATACAGTAGAGGTTCACCTTTGTAAATTCACCAGCTGAATTTACACTAGTATTTCTTTGGAATGGAAAAATTAAATAGCTTTTCTTTAAAAAATAATAATACAGATAGTCCTCAACGTACGACCACAATTGAGCCCAAAATTTCTATTGCTAAGCAAGACATTTGTAAAGTGACTTTTATCCCAACTGTACAACCTTTCTTTGCCACAGCTGTTAAGTGAATTCACTGCCGTTGTTAAATTGGTCACACGATTGTTAAGTGAATCTGGCTTCCTCATGGACTTTGCTTGTCAGAAGGTCACAAAAGGTGATCACATGACCCCGGGACACTGCAATTGTTATCAATATGAGTCAGTTACCAAGTATCTGAATTTTGATCCCAGGATGATGGGGATGCTGTGACGATTGTATGTATGAAAAACTGTCATAAGCCACTTTTTTCAGTGCCATTGTAACTTTGGTCACTAAACGAACTGTTGTAAGTCAAAGGCCTACCTGTAATTGATTTTCTGCAGACTCTTGAAATCCTGAATTATTATTTTTTTTCCCCCCTAAGCTTAGGAAAACTCCCTACAGTATTCAGTTCTGGCTATTTTGGCAAAAAAACTACTCTTTGACTTCAAAGAACCAAAAATTCCTTCTATGGCGGCCTGATTCAGTTCAGTACTCCCTGGCATTAAATGCACATTTCTTCTTTCAGTTTCTTCAACTTGGGGAAAATAATGTTGCTCCACTAGATGGAACCACATCACTTGCTTTATTTTGTTTGGTAGCGGCTTGAGTTTTGTTTTGTTTTTTCTTCTCAGAAATCTATGCTTATTTAAATCTTTATCAGTTGAGCCTTTCACACAAAAGAATACCGAACAAGCTCTAGCTGTTTTTTTAAACTTTTTTAAAGTGTACTTGAATTCAGGCCTACAAGGACAAAGGTTGCTGCTTCATTAATAGGCAGTTGAGGACTTCTGCAATCTGTGAGGTGCTCAGAAAATGCTCCATTTAATTAATTCTTAAAGGAAAATTCTGTATTGTTGCATTAAGTGACATTACATGAATGTTAGTTTTTCATTAGAGGAAAATTAATACCCAAAAGGAGAACATTAAATTGCTTGCCTGCTGTAATTTTTAAATAAGTATAGGCAGACACTGAATAAGTATGAAGAAAGTATACTAATGAGTTTGGCAGGAGTCCCTCTTGGTGTATCGTATTAATGAATTAATTTCTCTTTAGACTTAATAGGCTGTGTTTTATATAGTTCTTCCATGGAGCTGAATAGCATTTATTACTTTAGTGTAGGACTACTGCTGAAGAGGCTGCTTTCCCAGGCCCGTTTTACTCAGCAAATAAGGTAGCAAATATTGTTTCCTATCCTTAAACATCCATAACAAAAAATAAAATAAAAAATAGAACATTCTTTAATAGAACTGAATCTAAGGCTGCATCTTTGCTTGCATCTAACCATGGCATAAAGGTATTTACTGGATATCCTTTTTATTTCTTTGACCCCCATAGCATTACTTTCATTTCATGCCCATCAGAGAGATGGAAGGAAGTCATCCGAGGCTGTGCTGCTATTAAAATAGGATTTTCCTCATTATTCCAACCCAGTGGTGGGTTCCTCCCAGTTCCGCCTGGTTCCGCCAAGCCGGTAGCGGTGATGATATGACATCACCAAACCAGTTCTCTTTGTTCAGGAGCTGCCCACCACCGCATTATTCTTACCTTTTATTTGGCCCAGCCCCCAATCTATTCGCTGCCTCCCAAGCCCCAACTGATCGGCTAGAAGGAAAAAAAACTGTTTAAACTCTTGCCAGGGAGCTTCAAAGGGCTG